ACTGGCGATCACCCACTTAAAAAAAAGTAACACACCGCTGCAGAACCTCTTGGGTGGTGTGGAATTTTGCAAGTACTTTTTAAGTCTTTCTAGTCGATGTGGCAACAGCGGGCGGCGAACAAGCCGAGATCCGCGAGATCTCTCCCCTGCGCCGGGGGATCCGCGAGATCCCCCGGCGGCTCTCAAAATGTCGCAATTTTTTTTTCAAAGTTTCAAAGTTAAATAACTCGGTTATTTTCAATTTATTTTAAAAATGGTAAAGAGAAAATATGTTTCTTTTGACCAGATCTACCACCCCTTAAAATATCTGCACTTATTTCTGGGACACCTTGTATAAGGTCTTTTAATTTCCCCCATAAAAAAGTCGAAAGAAGTTAAATCACAGGACCTAGCAGGCCAAAATATGGGACCCCTTGTTCCAATCCAATTCTCTCTAAATTCTCCATTTAATAGTGCATTTGTAACCCTGGCGTTTTAATTGTAAATTGTAATATTAATATGGAATGTTGATTTACCTTTTCAAAAGTCTTTAATTATGCAGATAAATAATAATATAGAATATTAAATTGTGCTAAAAGATAATAAGGCAGCTAGGTCAACACAAAATCAAGGCCCGCTTCGACATATAGATAAGAAACCTAATATTTCTCTCATTCTTAGAAATAGATACCCATAATTTTATATCGCTGGAAAGGGTTAAATGCCCGCATTTTTTTAAGTTCATAGCCAACTATGATTTCCATTTAAAAAAATATATTTTTCATTATTTCTGATAAAAAGAGCAAGCATAGAAAAAAACTGACTACGTCACTGGATTGTGGTTAAAAAAGTTCCTTAAGAGGGTTTTTGTTATGGGCAATTTTCCAAATTCAAAAAAAAACGTATTAATTAACCCCCATTAAACGTTCCTCAGAAATCGAGCCATGACATCTATGTAGGTTTTGCTCTATCTAGACAGGAAATAGGATTTCTCTGTTAAAACAGACCAATTTAGACCACCCTGTACTTACGTAGACAACAGAGGCGCTAGGAACAGAAAGTCAAAGTTTTTATAAAATTTTAAGCTCATTATAGGATTATTTTAAAAATAAGGTTATATTAAATTAAATTAGTATTATCGAAATCTTCATACGTATCTGCGAAACGCGGCGCTGTCGAAGCAGATTTCGGTCGAGGAACAGCAAAAAAAGTTAAACAAACCGGAACCCAAATAGGAAGTTTGCGATTGTATCGCCAAAATTAATATACGCTTAAAATGCAAGCTCACGTATCGGCTCTCCAACGCACGAATTACCTTGTGCCACTGGAGCTATTGTGTTCCTCTAATCGGTCCTGACAAATTTAATCTTGGCCCGATAAAAGTACCGCGTTAATTGAACCAAATATTTGCTCGCAGTTTTCCTAAAACCGCCCTGTTCCCTACCGATCATTTTTCTCTTTGCATATCCTCAGAGATGTCGTTATTTCAGTATGGATTTAGCTTGATAACTTCGATACTAAAATGTTCGTGTTGTTATATGGAAATTTCGATTAATATTCCTTAGTGGAAAAGACCTTAGGTGAATTAATTTATTAAAACGTATGTCTTCCTAGCCGGGATATAATGAAGACATCTGTCTAAAGAGTTAAAAGAATGTGAATTAATGTTATATTTAGGTAATATTGTTAAATGGTATTAAGAGTCCATTTCACTAGACCGAAAAAGTAGCAAAATAAGCGTTCGGCATTTAAAGTTTTATGTAAAACTGGCTAGGTATTTTTACACAAATCAAGAAGGAAATTAAAAATAAAGGATTATACTATATCTGTCTTGCAGCACATTTTTAGACAACTTCTTTATTTTTAAAATTTTGATGGTCAAACATCAATAAAATATTCCTTATGTTTGAACTAAATTTTCTCGAAAATAAAGACACAATTTAAAATTCTGTTACAATACGGAAATAAATTGAAGTTTTGTGATTACAGTGTTACAAATTATATACCACTGTAATCATATATGGTTTTGTAACTAATTGCTCGCTATTTTATGGTAAATTCTAAAGCTCTGCATACCTTAATCAAGCCGACATGTGTTTGGAATTTTGGGTGTGGCTTATTTGCTGAAATAGTTGCAGATTTCTGAAATATATTATATATTTCCTTCGGCCACACACCCGCTTTACCCGACCCCTGAGAGCGACCCGAACAGTACAGCGTAATAGACTCTTAATAACGTTACTTTGAATATGACTCAAATTGTCCAACCATTAGTAGGAAAAACAACTTCATTTGTTAAAATATCAAAACATTGTGTAGAAATACTTAAGAACATATATAGAATTAGGTCCTTCAGACAAATTTGTTAATTTTGATGTGGAAAATTTATATACTAACGCTCCCTCGGAGGAATCGTTCGTCATTGTTGAGGCCAGATTGAGGGCAGAGATAACATTATCTAAAAGAACTCCGCTGCCTCTTAGAGGAGTGATGGAACTCTTGAGATGTTGTCTGCACAATTCTTACTTACAAGTTAAAGACAAGTTTTACCTTGTACCACTGGAGCTATTGTGTTCCTCTAATCGGTCCTGACAAATTTAATCTTGGCCCCATAAAAGTGCCGCGTTAATTGAACCAAATATTTTCTCGCAGTTCTCCTAAAACCATGTACCCTGTTACCTACCGATCATTTTTCTCTTTGCATATCCTCAGAGATGTCGTTATTTCAGTATGGATTTAGCTCGATAACTTCAATACTAAAATGTTGGTGATGTTATATAACGCGTGTTTTTTTTTGAAAAGAGGTTTTCAAAAACAGGAGATTTGGTATGTTGGTGTAGGACATAAATTAGGATTGATTGACGCTTTCAATTACTTTCGGTCATTTTCTGTTTCAAAGGAAATGACTACAACTTTTGATTTTTAAATGTTACTCCCGGTATTTTTTACTTTATTTGATAGAAAATTATGAAATGAATGATGAAAAAGACTCTGAACAGTGTCCATCACATGTCTATTTTTGACATTTTCTTTTAAAAAAATTGTATTTTCAATTTTAATATAAGTGTCACGACAATAAATAATGCTAATAGGCCACCCTAGTTCCACTTGAAAAAATTGAGTTTTGATTAAAAATACGATATGGTCATCTTTTAACAGGCCAGGAAAAGACTCGATAAACATTCTTCTTCTTAGGCCGCCGTCTCCCTTCAGAGGTTGGCGATCCAGCTGACTATGATGTTGCGTGAAACCGCACCTCTGAAAATTTCGATCGATGTCCTTCCGAACCAACGACACAGATCCCTAGGCCAGGAGTTTTGCCTTCTTCCCAGTGATCTCCTGCCCTCAATTTTGCCCTCGATGAGCAGTTTGAGCACCTCGTATCGATCACCCCTCATGATGTGACCGACGTACTGTAACTTCCGTTCCTTCACTGTTGATAGGAGCTCTTTATATTTGCCCACCCGCCTGAGTACCTCCTCATTTGTCACTCTATCCATCCAGGATATACGCAGCATACGACGATACAAGTACATCTCAAAAGCATTAATGCGGTTTTCCAATGTCTGACTGAGTGTCCAACTCTCACAGCCATAGAGAAATATTGGAAAGATGTAGCAACGCAGCATACGTATGCGCAGTTCGAGGCTTAGATCTCGGCTGGAGGATTTTCATGGAAGCAAAAGTACGTCTGGCCTGTTCGATCTTCGCTAAAATTTCAGTTTTGGGGTCGCAAGTGTCGTTAACTAGGGCTCCTAGATACTTTATGGACGATACTTGTTCTATCAACTTGTTAATTCTGAGGACAGTCTTTCCCGGTGTTTTGGAAAATACAACAAGTTTAGTTTTGTTAACATCGAGGTTAACATTGATGTGTAATCCGTACTGCATGCTATGTTCAACGATGCAGTCCATCATGTTCTGAAGGTGTAGAATGTTGCCAGCCAGGACGACCGTATCATCTGCGAAGCGAATATTGTTGATCAGGTTACCATTGATTTTGATACCATCCTCAACGCTCTCTAGTGCCTCACGGTATCGCCTCGGAGTAGATGTTGAAAAGGAGTGGGGATAATACACACCCCTGCCTGACGCCCTTCCTAATTGCTACTTCATCAGATGTTCCGCCATCCGCTCTGATCTCTGCGGTCTGGTTCCAGTAGGGGAGGAGGGGCACAGAGGACCGCTTAAGGAATTTTAGTGTACAAATCCATAAAAAAAATTATTAAAAATAGGTAAACCTATTTGTGTCAAGTTTAGTGGTTACTTTATTCATTTAAGACCAAAAAAATATTTTAAACAAAATGAATTATTATTTACAATAGTTTTTTAATAATCTGCGCTGGTCCTCTGTGTCCCCTAGCAATGGGGCACAGAGGACCTAGAGCTGGGGCACAGAGCTCCTAGTAGGGTGTGTTGGGATCATGCATTGAATAAACAATATTTGAATAGGATTTTCACAAAAAGACTGATAGGTTGCAAAAATAGTTTATAGCAGCTTAACATCTAACAAAAAATATTATCTTTAATAATATATTTAAGAACATTTCAAACAAATAAATTCTGCATCGTCCTCTGACATTCCTGCGCAAGCGTCATGTGCCCAACCTTTGCAATTCTGACATTGAATCCATCCTTCCCCTGCCCTTGATTCGCCATACCTGCAATAAATGCATATAGTGTTGGTGTCTTCTTCTTCACTATCGCTACTTGAAACCTCCACCACTTTTTTTTGCACGGATTTCTTTTTTTTAATATTGGACTTTTCCTCTACGTTTTTAGTAAGTTTTTTTTTACACTTTTGGTATTTTGTTTTTTTTTCGGCTTCTTTGGCCATAAGCTGGTCCTTAAATGGGGAACTTGTTAATTCTTCAGCATGCTGAGCTCTGCTTACCTTCTGTAGGTTTTGAGTTTTGTTTTTACGGGCATCTGACTTTGGCTTTGGAGAAATTTTTAGGATAGCATCTTTGAAGGAAGTGTAACTGCAGCTCGGTTGTGGTTCTTTGAATACGTTTTGAGGTTCACAGGTTGGTTATCATCCTCATCTGAAACATTTTCGGCAGCGATCGGCCTCTCGGTTTCTTGCTGTACCGGGACGTCTGTAACTTGAGCTGGCAGAAAACATTCGTCAGGAAATATTTCATTATTGAATGGATAAATTCCTCGCAACCCTTTATGGCTTTTTCCAAGGTGGCAGTATGAAGAAAAGCCTTTGAAAATATTTCTAATGACACACGAGATCCAGGGTTATTAGTGTGCCATAAGTCACACTCCTTTGGATACTGATGTTTTAAAGACCCAAACACAGTGCAGTCAAGAGGTTGCAGGCGATGACTGGTGTGGGGAGGGAGAGAGACCATTATAATATTATTTTCTCTTGCTTTATTTATTGCGGCAAGGGTCCTATGACTATTGTGATTGTCAAGGATTAATAATATTTGCTTATCAGGACCGGGTTTCACATGGTTAATAAAGTGGTCTAAATACTTGATGAAATGATCGGAATCCATCCATCCAGAACCATTTGCATAGCCATCTGCACCTGGCGAACATCCTTTCATAAAGAATGGGTTCATTCGCTGTCGGGGAAAAAGAAAAAACGGAGAGACGTAGGATCCTGCAGCTGAAATCCCACAAACTGCAGTTACATTAAACCCACGTTCAGTGCTCACTCTCCGCCCAACATGCTTTTTTTCTTTTTTAGCTAGAATTTTTCTGGGTACGGGTACTGAATTAATCCCAGTCTCATCAATGTTATATATCTGATCTGGTTGAATATTACTCTTCTCTAAAACTGATCGTACAACGTCAAAAAACTTTTGAACTTGGGGTTTATTAAATCCTGCAGCTCGTGCTATGCTTGTGGCTTCGGGAGCTCTAATAGAAAGTTGAGGATTACGTTTTTTAAACCCCGCCAGCCAGTCACTACCGGCTAATTTGGCATTATTATTAAATGGATGTTTCAAGCCCATATTTTCTGCCAGCTCAAATGCGAATCGACGAGCATCGAGAGGAGTTGATCCACTAGTTCAGTTTCTTGTTGGTCAGTAAACACTTGTTTGAAATGATTTCTTGGTATCTTTGGTATCATTTCATTATTTTTTCGGCGCAAAATACAGGTCTTAGGTATCTTAAAACGTTGAGCTGCTTGTCGAACTGAAATTTCGTTTCGGTTGATCATTTCCAGTGCCCTGGTCATGCCTTTTTCTGACCACGAAGGCTCGGTTTTTTTCTTTACGTAGTTACTTACCATCTAAAAACAATATTATACACAAATCACCTAATTGAATTAATTTTAAAACATTTAAATTTATATTTGAGCCACAACATACTGCTTTGGGGCACAGGGGACCATAAGCGGTCCTTTGTGCCCCAGTTGCAGAAAATAAATTTAAATTTCCCGCCACTCGACTGAATGAGTTAACCAACTTGTTTTTAAGCAAAAAAGTTGTGTTTTAGTGGGTTATAATAAGAAATAACATTACATGCATAATAACGCAATAATCACACTTGACAAAACTATAAAATTTAGCATGGCTTACCTTAAAACCCAATGTTTTGTTTGCTGCGACTTGCACACTACACGAACATTGCTGTAACTGTCAGAAAAATAAAAGTACACCGCTAGCTTGCTATTTTTAACAAAATTTAAAAGATGGTGCCACTTGTAACAAAATAAATCGAGTGGACCTATGTGCCCCAGCGGTCATCTGTGCCCCCTCCTCCCCTATAACTGGAACATGCAACAGATGCGAAGGAGCCTAAAAAAGCCTCTTTTATTTTTCTTTTAGAGGCTATAGCTTCTTTCATTATAATATAATTTTGGCTTTATTAAATTTTATTCTTTGCCCTGTATCCCAAGAAAGCTGACAAATCTTAGATTTGTGAAAATCTCCCTTTCTTAAATAATCTTTATGTTCTTTAATTCTGACATTTAAGGGTCTAGATGTTTCACCAATGTAAAATTTATCGCATTCACAGGGTATTTGGTATATTACATTTTTTGTTTGTTGGTCTGTATTCATTGGTTTAGTATGTGATAAAA